CAGAGCCAAGCGGGTCCCGTCCCACTGCCTGCTGCTGTGCTGTATTTTCTATGTTACATAAAGGGTGTCAGATGCATGTAGCATGTACGCGTCAGGTGTGTGGGGGCATTCGTGATTTCAGGAGGAGTAGGGAAGACGAGGAATCTATGAGAAATGGCTTCCAATTAAGTGCCTACGTTTCTCTGGGTATCTGGTTGGTTCTGACACATCTGTCTCCATAAAGAGCAGTGAATTAAAGTGATTTTGCTGCCATATAGCACTGTGCAAAAGCCTTAGACAGGTCTGGTGAATGAACAAAGAAAGATATATAAATGTGTAAGAATACTGTACAACAAGAAAAGGGAATGAATATATAAGCACTGAGACAGAACTGGCACTGCAGGTGATGAGCCCTTAGAATAGTAAGGTAATAAAACATGATGATTCGTTCTTTGTGGAAAGTCGGTATCTTCTGTCCATATCTTATTCAAATGGCACAAAATCCCTCATCATTATTAATCGTATTGGCAATGACTCACCAGTGACCTTTTACCTTAAGAGTAAATACATCATTATTGCAAAGGTGCATGACTTTACAATAACCTTTCTGATGGATGTTTCAACACCTGCTCGTCTCCATGGACTGCCTTATCTTGTATTTATGCTATTATTTCTTGTTAACACTTTATAATGAGTACCTTTTAATGATCCTTAATAAAAGATTAACAAAAACTAATTTCATAATGAACAGTTTATTAAGAATGACTTAGGTTTAGCAACTACTTCATTAAAACACTATCTGCATGTCTTATTACTGCAAAAAAACAAAACAAAAACAAAACAAAACAAAAAAAAACACCTGTAACTTGTCCTGGTTGTATCACTTCTTGTCTCCAAGTAGATAAATGAGTTAAATGCCATACTGTGGAACATTGCAGGCAAAGCAACAACATCACCATGGACAGGTGCGTGGCAAACACTGCATTAGAAAAGTTCCCTAGTGCACCTTTTCCAGCATTTCTGTCATCTCACTAGAAACTGCACAGTACAGTGTGGTTTATTTCTCTCTGTTTGCAATGATCACAATACGCAGTCGACATCAAATGACTTCAGATGACAAAGGCAAGTGAGACAGCCTTGGGCACTGAGAAGAAAAAATGTGAGTGCTGAAAATACAGTGTAAATGGCTTCGTGTTTGAGAAATGGTGCAACAACTCAACTGGGACAATCAATATATTTTAGCATCACGTTTGAACAGCAATCTTTTTTTCTCTAGCGTTATTTACCATCTGCAGTGCCCATGATGACAGGGGGTCCCCATAGGTTACACTGCTGTCAGAATTGCACTGAGGGGATATAAAAACAAATCTACATATGTGGCACAGAGGTAGAGGAGGAATAGGGCCGCATAATGAGCAGTAAAAGCTAGGGTTAAGCAGTTATTACACCTCCCATATGTTTACAGCGAGATGCTCAAAAAGTCATTATATCTAAAGGGACCCATGATGAGAAGGGGACTGGGAGGTAATTAGACCGTGTGTATGATGCAAGCTCCAATATACAGGGGGAAATTGAGAAAACAACCTGTGTTTATTTACATATAGAAAGGTTCACAGTTTCTAATGAAGGTAGATTTTCATTATGGATGTATTACCAATGAGTCGATATAGTGAGAATTTTTTGCTGATGTAACATTTCGGTGAATGGCGTATTCTGGTGGAAGGTCACAGGTTACAGGTCAGATCAGTGGAGACTGGAGAGGTGACCCCACTCATTAGACTGATTCATAAGCCGGTTTTACTTCGTTTCACTTCATACAGACCATCTGACCTTGCAGTGTTAGATTTCGTTCGCTCGGTGGTAGGTGGGTACTTTTTATCATTTAACCAGTTGCTGCTATTTGATAGTCATGTATGTAATGCACCACTAACGGAGCTAACTGGTATATTTACCTTTTCCCAAATCCCGTAGGAAGAAGGGCAATAACGTCTTTCCCCTTGATAAAATTCACAAAACATTCTCTTTATTCCAGCTTTAAATCCTCGATCTCAGGAATCGTTGACAACACTGAATATATGGCTCTTCGCTGATTGGCTGGTGCCCGAACATACACTTTCGGGGTTTTTGCGAACCGTCGCTGCAGAGAAATTAAATAGAGTGGAGGTACTAGGTGGCGCCAGTCTGGGTATCCACTCATAGTAAGGATGTAAGAAACCACCAGTAAAGGTACCTTTAACTTTGCTCACATCACAGTCACATATTATAGTACATCAGTTTTTATAAGCTATTACAATAATGATGTTTAAATAACAGTAGCAACTAGTAATAGCTTTTGTAGTAAATGTAGAAAAAGTAATTAGTATTCTCTTATGTATTTATTTATGTATTATTAAAGTAAGGATCAAATTAATACTTTTTTTCATAGTGCTAAACGTGTGTCACTGTACTTTTAATGAGTACAGATGGAGAGAAACAATAAGCCTGTGAGTTTGGTGCAGTCCCCATGCCGGCTGATTGTCTAATACCTAAAAACCACAGCTCACCGTTGTAATCCCAACAGTTACAAAACATGATGCATAAAAGTGTGTTGTTGGATACATGTCTCATTTTTCATTTGCGGTGATGATTTGGATGATGGCTGGATGTGAAACATGAGACTTGTTATTTCCGCCGAGCTGAGCTGATGTATTGGTTTGACCTTTGAGAGCGGCCAGCCATGCCATTACCTCTGCTATGATTGAGAGTCCCCACATACACAGCTTGATGAAAACCAAAAAATCTGCAGCCGAATTGCCTTTTTCTCAAAGACGTACAATATCAGTTTAATAAAAATAGAAAAGAACAATATTTTACTAGAGAAATGTACATCATTATTAGGCAAAGACAACATCAGCATGCAGCATCTTCTTTGAACATGCCTTGGTTTCTGACAACAAAACATCAATGCAAACACACTTATGTCTGCAGCTCTGCTCTCAAAGTTTAGCCCTGGGCAGCCATTTGACAAAACAGTCTGAAAGTCTGCTTCACTCAGAGTAAGGCATGAGTGAAGTGTGAAAACGCAAGCAGGTTTAAAGTCAGTTTATAGTTAAATACAGTGTAACGTTTGTGTGGTTTATTCTAGCCAATAGATTATGACAATAGAGGTATGAATGGCACAAATTTTCTCTTCATCATAGGAGGAAAAATGGAAAAGCATAAATAGACTTGATGGTATTGAGATTTAAAAAAAAAAAAAAAAAGTGTTGCCAATGTAACCATGAGAAAATAATTCTGAATTCTGAATTCAACTATTGCTATATCAGGTGATGTCTCATTTAGTTAGTTTATTTATTTAATGAAACAGGGACAGTGCACATACATACATTATATACATTAACTTTAACAGGGGAGATGCATTGTTCCAGGTTGTAGCACTAGTGCTAATTTCCACCTGTAGTCCCTGGGCAAGTGAATTGATTGATTGTATTTAACTGACCTTAGCTTTCAGGTATCAGCTATTTTGTGCAATTTAAAAATGTGGTGTGATCCAATGAATGTTATTTCTGATTAAAAGGTCCAATAATAAACAAAACATCGTAGTATTTTGCATACGACCTGTATAATAGGTAAGTGGTTGAGACACAAAACAGGCAAATGGTCATTAAGAGACGCCTGATTGCTAAAGGGCCAACATGACTGCATGGCTCACTAATTCTGTGCTCTGTCCAGTGCATTGTCCTATTGATCACGTCTGAAGCCAGAAGCAGCTTGAAACAGCACAATGTACATTTTATCTGTGGCTTATGGTCTTGGGACAGTAAGGGATGTAATAGATAAAGACTACAGAGGGCAAAGTATTGATTTTTATATAAGATCAATGCATTAGAGCAGTGAGCACATTCAGCTGTGTGTCCAAGTGTGTGTTTAAGTCCTCAGTACCACAACGACATAATGAGAAACCCTACAACTAATAAGCAGGGAAAGCACCTTTTAACAGCTCAGGCAGATCACTGCTGAGATCCTTGTATTACTTAACAACTCGTCGGCTCTTTCATTTGTTTGATTTAAACACATTAATCCGACAGTTGATCCAAATGTTGCTGGGATTGATTGATAAAATAAAATGAGATGATTCTTTGTTTTGCAAATATGAGCACATTGTCTCCCCATGAATCTTGTAGCTCTTTGTAACTAATGTCATTCCCATGGGAAACAATAGTGCAGAACAGCACATTTCAATAATGATTAGCACAGACAGAATGTTTGCACTTCTTCTAAATGGCTCTGTAGCGATGGAAGCTTAATTCTCCATGACTCCACTGGACCAGTGCGCTTAATGTTAATCTCCGCTATTGTAAGTATCAAAAGCTTCTAGAAAAAAGTCTGAAACTATTATGTCTGACAAAGAGAGCTTTTATAATGAAACCAGTAATCAGACTACTACCATTGGAAATACACTGCTAACAAGACATTTAGCATCTAATTATCTCCTCAAGTTAGACATAAATTACCCAGCATGGTGTATTTAGTACATATAATACTAAAATAAAACTAAATTGTAATTATTTACAATGAACATGGGTTTCAGCATTAAAATAATGTTATCTTTGCAAAATGTCTTTATTTTAGAATGGAAACATTTAAAATGTGGTATAATGTGGTAAGAGTTTTGTGTGTTTTAGCTCAAATAGTGCATGGGGGAATATTTGTGAAGGTCAGGCTTTAAACTGCAATAAAACTGATAACATCATGGGACAGAATGCACACAGCTAGGGCTTAGGGTACTGTGTGCTCTTGCACAACTCCTCTACCCCACTGGGATGGAAAAGATATTGGCTCTTTGACTGCTAAAATAGCACTAAAATGTGCTTTGATTTGAGGTGCTTTCATACACCATGTAGTATATCTTTTTATTTTATATTGTTTATAATGATTTTCTGTGTATTGTGTTGTGTGTGGTATTGACCCCCAGTGTACCCTTTCCAAAGAGGATCTGTCCTGTACCCCCTGAGAGCAGAGCAAAGTGAGGCTGTACTCACGGTCATTGCAGAAGGGCCCTCCATAGGTGGTCATGGTGCAGTCACAGGAGAAGCCCTCCCACAGCTGCAGACATACCCCCGAGTGGTGACATGAGTCCTCTGTGCAGGTAGTGCTGGGACCTGGGGATGTCAAAACTACCGTTACCATTACACATTTAACTATTCTCCAACCAGGACAAAGCATGATGCATTTATCAACTTGAGTTATGTCTCTTAATAAATGTGCTGTAATTAGCAGTCATTAGGGCTATTCAACATTTGGGCCTGTCCCATAGCTCACCTCCACAGCCGCGCTCCACCTCGCCCACTTTGTGAAGGGCATCTGCCAGCAGTTCAGGAAGCCTCCCATTCAGGTCCACAGAAGCCAGGCAGCCCTTGTACCCCTCTCGAGACGCTATGAGTCTTGGAAGGCTGCCGTACATGCTCTTCCCCACGCCACCAATGTACAGCTCACCTATGGAAAACAACACAATCACACAGGTTAAAGATTGAAAATGTATACTAGTATTTGCAGTCAAGTATGCATACTGTAGTAGATTCCAAAATTGCAAACTTATTATGATTCACATTTTTTTCCTTTTCATAACATTCATTAACATTTAATGACAGTATCTCATATACAGATGCAAGTAAAAAATAACTCATAATTCAGCAGTACTGAACTAAATCTTCCTTCATAAATAACTGTGTGACATTCTAACAGCTGGTTCTTTGCTTTCTGGGCTATTAGCAACTTCACAGTCCTGCTTATTGATGCAAGGACAGGGATTTACCACTGCGTTGTAAACCTTTCTTTCTTGTTGAAGGTGCACAAGCAAAAATCCACCGGTAATGCAGTTTGTTAATACATTATTATTGGTTAGTCTCTTATTACTCTGTCACACAAGTAAAGTGACATGTTTCTTAGCCTACACATGACCACCCGTCCATGAATTATTGATGACTAATGATACATTATTTACATGCGCTTGCATCCGGTCAAGCCTGTACCTTTTAAATCCAGGTTGCGGGCTCCATTGGCATGCTGGGTGACGGTGCGTGAGTCTATTTTCAGAATGTGCACATTGTTGTTGTCTCGGGAGATCACCACATTATGCCACTGGTTGTCATTGAGAGGCTTGTCAGAGTTCCCCTTCATTAGGGAAGGTCCATTCCCCAAGTCGAAAACATAGTGGATATAGCTGTAAAAGTATTGCAAAATTCAATATCAGGAAAAATAGCTGTCCTGTTTTATACTGCAGAAAAAATGTTTAAATGATTTAAGGGAGCTGTGTACAGCAAGTCAGATGTCGTTTTTCTATAGGACATGAACTGCAAGACTTGGCTTGAAAAGCAAAGAATTGTTGCTGCTGCCAAAGTGGTGCTAAACCCATTTTCTTGTATGCATAATTCACAATAATAGTTCTTTAAAAATTCCCTATGATGAGGCTAATTGGCATGTATGGTAATGTTGGGGGACTTTTCTTTGATCAGTGTAGTGCACTGTGAGCGACTAAACTTATCTGAAATTAATTTGTTTGAATCAAAGTTACTAAGCGACAGCCATGACAGAGCGTCTCGCCTTCACGTGGCATTGAGCCTGATCAGAGGTATGTCAGGGACACACAGCTGCTTTAGGCTCCACACAGACCTCCCACTGACTGATCGCTCACTCAGAACGGTCTGCAGCAACCTTGGCGCAGGGAAATGACTCTTGTTACTTCCTCTCCATCATTATTTACAGGTGCTTTCTGTGATTCTCTTTGCAGCAAACACAATGTGAACTGAATAAAACATCTGAGATATTTGTGAGGAGTCACGCTGCCAAGTGCTGTCATGCAGGTGACTGTGGGAGAAGGATGCTGGCTTTGGGCAGCGCTCATCTGCTGCTCCCAATCCTTTAACACAATTATTTATGATGAACAAATGATTGTGAATCTCCTTGTGTCTGTCTGCTCTGCTGCAGGCACACTAACTGAACACATGAATCACGATTAGACAATTTCAGAGAAGGAATATAAATGTTTGGATCCAGATGCCTCCTGTTTGCAAATACAAATGCTCTTTTAATGAAACTAAATATGGGATTAACATTTCAGTGCACATATCTTCATACTGCACTGCAGCTGTCTCCTTTTGTTGCCAAGCTTCATAATACTAAATATTTACTGTGTGCAATGTATACGCCTTTATTGAATGTGTGTGTGGCCAATAGAAAGATGTGTCTCACCCTTTGACTAGCTCCACCACAATGAAGTCGCTGCCATCTCCAGAGTTGTACAGAATGAGCCCGTCGGGACTGGTGGTTTTGAACTGAAAGAACAGGTGCATGGAGGCGTAGGCCTGTAAAGTGGAGAAGGCCAAGTAACTGGCTTGGGTGAGAAAAGTGACCGGGTTGGCCACAATGTGCCTCATTCCAAAGCGGGCGTTGAGTTCGCAGTAAGAGATGTCCCCGTTCTTGCACTGGTCCAGATAGTGCATGCCGTTGAAGGACAGTGACTGCAGGTGGCCGATAAAGTTGGACGGCATGACGGAGATGAAGCGCCTCTCGGTCATGATGCCCGTCTCTATGTTGTTAAACTCCAGACGAGTGTGGGCGCCAGTCATGTGACCTATCAGTACACAGCCAAGATAAACATCATATCTCAGCAGCTTTTGCCTCTATGCCTATTAATCATCGCCATTACCTTCCACAGTAACATTATCCACAGACAGCTGCAGATTCTTGCCTCGTCGCACCACCTTCACTGTGTGCCACTCATTGTCGTTGAGCTTCTCTCCCACCAGCAGGATCTCCGGTCCCTTACCTGAGAGCAGAGCGCAGCCAGTGACAATCACAGCTCATCAGCAGCACAGTCTCTGTCAATGGAGCCCTCCACACGAGAGCTGTAATCAGCACATGCATTCATCCTCCACCCTGCAGAGCCACGCAGCTCTCAGTCTAAATCACCAATACACAACATCCACCACACGTACTACTCACACCAAATCTCAAGATTAATTCATATGATTATAATCTTCTTCTACTAGATTTAACTAAAATATCACTCTCACATGGAGCTGACAGAGGGAGGCCCCCATTGAGGAAGCACGTTTTTATCTCATGCCTGCTCTCCAGCACGCACTTTTAAGTTTTGGGATTCCTGCAGCATCCTTTTGGCTTTCCATTGGCTCAAAATAGGTCACAGTGCAGAAGCTTGCCACTGCAGCGGCGTCATCCTAAATCAGTGTGTATGCAACAGGCCGACACAGCGGTTCAAAGGAGTTCTGACATCGCTTGGGAAACTAATTGGCCATGCCTAAGCTGACTGTGCCTTCAGGGGTTTGTCTGTCTAATTGAGCTCAGGGTGCCGCAGAATTACCGGGGACATACAGAGGGCAATAAAAAGAAAACATCAACTGGTTTCCGAACACTTCACAGTTTCATCCTCGGGGAAATAAGAGTGCGACAGGAGGATTGGGCTGGGGCTGCATAGCAAGTATCTATGGAGCACACCGCATGATACTCCTCCACCTGCTGGATATCGACCGGGCACAGCAGACAGATCAATCACCTCAAATCCAGCTCTCTCTACATTTGAGGGATTTAGTAAGATAATGAAGCGGGTGAACAAAACACAGGCTCTCACTGGAGTCTTGTCCAACACAAAAACTGAAATGTTTGCCTTGTAAATCTCTATCGCAGACACAAGATTTACTATAATGAAAGAGGAGATAGTGCTGTGCTTGGGAGCAGGCTATTCATCTTATCGGTGTGGCTCAGAGGGGAGCTTCTTCTATCTAATGTCATCATGCACACAAACAGCAAAACTAAGTGAAAGACCAGGTTACAATTGTGAATGCGGGTTTCTCTGGGATATTGTCACCTATGCTATACAAGTGTATGTTTATGTGTCTGATCCTTTTTGCCTTTTTTTCTTCTGAAGTCACAACAGAAAACTATCTGCTCCAGTGAAACCAGTAATTCCCATAATTACATGACTGATAATGATAATGATAATATGCATTCTCCCAATATCCTGCATAAAGTAGATGATTTCATAGCAGAACACATACATTTAACCAGCTCATCTTCAGTGTAAAAGATTCATTTTGTTCAGGTTGATCTTTGATTCCTCTCAGATTTGATTAACAAGGATAACTTCAAAGGCATAGACGTAAAGGAACCTGGCCGGTAACCATAGTGAGGTGCTATATGGGAGTAGCTAGCTAAGACTAAGGCGTTCTGTGTGATTTTGCTGAACAAATATCTTGAACAATTCCTCAGATTCAGGAGAATTAATCGTTGGCACTGCATTGCAACATACATTCATTAGCCTCCCACTGTGGATCTACTTGTAGGCTGCCAAGACACATCATCTAATCTTAATAAACATGCACATAATACATATAAATACATACATCTCGCTGCCATCATACACAGGTCTTATAAGTATTAGTACATTATTACATTATTTATTCATATCTTCTACATTGTACCACATTATGCACGTACTAATAGTAGATACGTTGTGCCACTATGCTATCTGTTACTGTAGTTATATGCCCATGTATGGAGATGGACAGCTTTCTGCCTGTGTTAGGAGGGGGATAGCTTTGGCTCACAGTGAGTCCTCTACATATTGTATACAGGGCACAATCTTATGATGCATGATGGTATATTGCCATCTGCTGGTTGAGAGTATACTGACAGTTTGTCAGAAAGGTCTGTATTTCCATAACTTACAAGGCACTGGGGACAGCTAGTAAATCAAGCATTCTGGCGCACACACACATTGCACTTACCTTGATGATGTGATAAAGACATCCTTTTGGTATGAGCACATCTAACAGTTAACTCAGAGGTCTCATTGCAATTAAGGACTCTTTCTCTAGTTAATGTATAAAACTTGTATATTATATTAAAGCTGTCTTTACTATGCTTATATCCAGATTTATACAGTTATTAAAACGTGTGGTGGAGGTGGAGGAAGCTCAAAGCCAGAAGTCGATTAAAATGATCGGTTTTATAATCACCCAGCGTGTGTGATCTATATCTCCCTCCTCACCTTTTCTAGCAGCAGTAGCTTTTATCTGCCTCTCCCTCGGCTGCAACTGGGAGCTCAAAATGTAAATGACCTGTCTGCTGCTATCAGAGGAGAGCAGTGATTTACATCCCAGATCTCAGCATCAGTGTATGAGCACCTGCAGGACCTCTTCCCATATTTACGGTGAAATCAGTGTGGTTAATATACAGGGAAATGTGCCTTTGGCTTTTATCAATACAATCAAGGGCCGTTATCAGATGGGTGTCTATTCACTTAAAGAATAACACTTGAGCATTAAAATCCATAGTACATTTTAATGGGGTAAGACAGGAGGAGAGAAACTACTCTGAAACGGCTTATTACTGAAATATTGAACTAACAGATCGCTAGGCAATACATATACATATGCTTGCTTTAAAGATCCATTATGTGACATTTCTGGTGATTGCTTGCCACCTGTTTGTCTCTGTGGAGGTGTTATTGGGGGTGTTCCACAGTATGGCACTGAAGGTATCTATCTTGCATTTAATTCATCAAATACAAAACAAAACAAAAATGCACTCTTATTGTGAGTTTTGTCAGCTCTCCACAGATCTGATCTGTAACTTAGCCTGGCCATGGAGACAGATACGTGTGATGCCACACTGCGTAGTGTTTCAAGTAAATCAATGTCAACTCCATGACTGCAAGCAATAGAAATGTTACATAAAGCAGATTTAAATTAATGAAGGAAAAAACAACATACGGCCAACTGATTTGAACTATGAAAACCCATAAACAGTGTTAGAAATCAAACCTATATAAACCATTTTCACGTTATACTGAAAATTGTACAAATATCTTAGCATATTTTCTATGCTTATGAAAATTGGCAGTAAGAATATGCAACTGATGTCTTAGTTTGCCCTATGATGAAGAGGTCATCTTTGAATGAAATAAATAATACACATATAGATAAATCTAACAAAAACAACTTTAAGTTTTCAACAGTGCTGCTCCAGCTGTTACCTCAGCACCCGGATGTGTAGGTGTCCATTTGTTCACATTGAGAATACATTAATAGTTATTGAGGCGTATCAAATAGTGCAGACACTCAGCCGGGGTGCTAAGGAGGTAGTATTTTTAGCTTTTGGTGTCTAACTAATGAGTATCCAAAGACAAAATCAATGCAGTTAATGGAGTGGCTCATTGAAGAGGAATAATTTATCACTAGTTTGGATCCACTGACAGGACATGCCTTAGTGAAGCAGGTTTACACCTCAGTACCACTCAGAGGACTCCTATTTGTGTTAACAAGCACTGGGCTTTGTGAGCGCGTTCTAATGAGAGGAGGGATTACGAGAAAATCACGTCAGTTACGAGGCTATTTGGGGTTTAGCTAGTCTATAATGCTGATTCAAACGTTTTTGCCAAATATATTCTAATCTATTCTCCATTTGAGGTACAAAACTATTTTTCCATGTTTTATTTGTAGTAAATTAAGTGGTTTAATAGGAGTATTGCAGCAGACCATGTACAATGGTAGCAGAAAAAAGTATTATTTGGAGTATAGCAAAAGAAGAGGAAGCAGTCACAGGGGTATAAGTATTATTGTAGCTATATCAGTGAAATGCTGTGCAGAAATGGTCTATTAGAAGTAGAATTGTAGTAATATTTGTGGTTAAAGTAGTAATAGTAGCTAGACATACGCTTTAGTCTGCTATAGAGTTCTATGAAATCCATGGATCATTATTTTACATTTTGGACATTTTAAATTCCAATCCTGAAGCTGACTACCAGCTCAAAACTGTGGCAATGATTTCCGTCATTGCTATATGTGTATGACCACTTTAGAAAACCAAAAAAAGCTGAATAAAGATGACTCTTGCATGATACGTCTTCTTTAACTTTCTAATATATATTGAATTAGGTCCAGTTCGATCTAGTATTTCTCCTTTTGTAACATGACTTCACTCGAGCTCTGTAAATGTAAATATAGAGTAAATATTGTGTGTCATTCTTCAGCGTCTCTCTTATAAATATATAGCCATGATTTCCTGCTCTTGTTATTGATCCTGTACACAGCTAACCTTTAAGTGCACGTTGGCTCTGTCACCGCCATCCGATCTGTGCATTTCAAAATCAATGTATATGTGTGCTAATGAGGCAGTGAGAGCCTGCTCCACTTCCACCACTCATAATAACTGTTGACTTTAGCCATAACTAATTACTTGCTATTAGCTCCAGAGAAATGAATAATAGCATAATGGGAGAACAACAGTAAGTCAAATCCTGTTACACTTTATTGCAGCATCATTATTTAAAGTCTAATTATATTCAGGCATCGTCATTTGGTTTGGGAGTTACAACATTATTTGTGTCGGTTGCATTGCCAAGCTTTCTGCAAGTAATTTAACTTATACTTGCAAAAATACTTCCAATAGAAATCACTTTATAATATACATTTTAGTGGCAGTGACAATCAATACATGGGTGACAAAGTTATATCTACAATCTGTACTAAGTAAGTACGTCAAGTTTATTTATATATACTATATTAATGTTTTGGATATGGCTGTGTTAAAGGACACTATTAAATTTTACTATTGCTTCATAATGTTGTAACTCACATAAATATGAATCTGCTTTTCTAAATAATAGCTCTAAAATTGTGTAATTATTTTTCCATAACGTTTGTGTTGCAATAGACATAAAGCCATTGTATTCTGGTATACAGTGAGTAATCAGAGGAGACACTTACTGAGGTTACAGTCTATCCTGATACAATCTGGTGAGAGAGAGAGTGAGATGG